TCTGCAGGTGAACACTGGGGTCTGAGCCAGAAACAAAACCCACTCCTGTTCCAGGGAGCTGGCTGCTTTAGGGGGTCCCTGCTAAGATCTCCATGCCACCTCCCTTTTCGATGTCCGCCACAGCCCAATCCTGGACATGTTTCTGCCTCAGTTTATCCAGTGGCCAGGAGTGACCAGGGCCACACCTGCGCAGTTGTGCTAACCTTGGCTCCCTTCAGACTTGCGATATGCAGATGAAGACGGGGCCAGGGCAAATGGGCGAGGAAGTTTGCAAAATGTCTCAGCATGCAAGCCCTTTCTCTGGGGAGGCTCCAGCCTTCGTTCCTACTCAGGTCTTAGAGGGTCAGGGACTAGAAGAAGCCCGTCCACCCTTCCATCCCAAGCCATACAGAGGCCCCCCTCCTGTCGGTAATTCGGGAGGACTTTGTGCCTGCCTGTTGGTATAGATCCCTGGTCAGCCGAGCTAGGACACTGCTGGGGTGGAGTGGGGAGAAACACAAACCCATTCATTGTAAAAGAGTAGGAATGGCCCATAGGGTTTCCAAGACTGAATCTTTACAGCCGCTGATTGCCACATCTTTGTCCTGTGGGGCGGCCAGAGGGTTCAAACCACGTACCTCTGCATTAGCAGCTGCAAGTGCTGTGGCCCCCGAGTCCCCCTCCTCAGGGGGGGATGGAGAAATTGAGAATGGTCTCCTCACGTCACTCTGTCACTTCTGTAGCAGAAACAGCCAAGGACCTCACCCACCAGCCCATGACACCCTGTCAGCTCCAAGGCCCCTCCGTGGACTCTCTCCTGAGGATGGGACAAGGGGACAGCGTGATGTGGTGGCTGGGAGCCCTGATTGGATCAGAAGTGCCCCAGACTCTCTAGGCTGCAGCCCCTCTCTGGGTCATGGAGCTCCGCTCCGGGGCTGAGGAGGCCCTCAGCTAGAAAGCAGGCAGCCAGGACCCTGTCCACAGAACTGGCCACGCCATCAGAGGATGTTGGAGCAACAGTCTGCCTCCTGAAGGCAGACACCCAACTGGGGCTCTCAGCTGTGCCACCTGCACACTGGCAGGTGTCCTGTGACAGGACCCTTTTGGAAGATTAATGTTAATGCTTTGCAAATGGCCATGGTCATGACACAGCCTCCTGCCTCTCTCTAAGGACCTCTGGGGGTCAGCATCTTCAATTCCCGACAGCTGGGAAGCTGTCAACCACCATGGTCCTTCGTACCCTGACTGCTGACAGCCCGGTGCACTGCAGAGAATAGTCCCACAGAGGTTTGATCATCACAGAGAGAGACCACCAGGTCTTTCTAACGTGGTGCTCCTGCACGGATCCAAACAGTCAACGTTCCGGTTAATAACTCCAATCAAACCAAACTCATTACTGTCAAGTCACTCCTGACTCATGGGGACCGGGCTGCTGTTGTCGTTAGATTTCATCAAGTCAAGTGCGACTCACAGTGACCCTATGAATAACAGACCTGAATGTGGTCCTATCCTGTGCCAACCTTACCATCTCTGATACACTTGGGCACACCGCTGCAGTCACCATGTCAGTCCATCTCGCTGCAGTCACCATGTCAGTCCATCTCGCTGGAAGTCTTCCTCTCTCTCGATGACCCTCCACTTTTCCAAGCATGATGCCCCTCTCCAAGGAACAGCCTCTCCTAACAACACGTCCAAAGCATGAGAGATGAAGCTACCCCATCCTTGCTTCCAAGCAGCACTCCAGATGCACCTTTTCTGAGACACAACTGTTCGTTCTTTTGGCTGTTCGTGGGATGTTCAGCACTCTTCTCCAACACTACAGCTCGATGACATCAGTTCTTTCATCATCCTTATTCACTGGCCAGTTCTCAAATGCATAGCATGTGACTGAAAAGACCATGGCCTGTATCAGACTCAGCGTTCAAACTGATATCATTGCTCTTCAATATTTTGGAGAGATCCCTGACAGTGGACTTGACCAAAGCAATGCATCTCCTGATTTGCTGGTACCAAGGACCTCAGAAGGACAGAGTAAACTGCCCCACAAGGTTTCTGAGCTGTAATTTCTAAAGAAGGGAGCTCGGGTGGCCTAGTGGCAAGAAGCTGTGCTGCAATCCTAAAGGCCCATGGTTCAAGGCCACCAGCTGCTCTGCTGGAGAAAGATGGGCAGTCTCCTTCCATGCAATTAACTGCTTCTGAAAACCCGCAGAGGGTCAGCTATGGGTCGGTTCCGACTCTACAGTACACAAAAACAACAACAAATTAGTATAGAAGCAGACTGCCACATCCTTCTCCTGAAGAGTTTAAAATGCCTGAATGCAAAATTTTTAGTTAGCAGCCAATATTTTAACGGTTGTGCCACCAGGCCTATTCTTTGGGCTGACAAAAACTCCCTCAGTGCCAACTCATGGGGACCTTCTTTCATGTTTTTAAGGATGTAAATCTTTGCAGAAAGACATTACTTTTCTGTCTCCCAAGGAGCCACTGGAGGATTCGAACAACTGACCTTTTGGTTTAGCATATACTCAATGTTTCAGGATACCTCTTTACTACCAGTAGCCAAGGACCCAGGGCCTTGGAAAGTCAACACAATCTGTATTTTCCTGATGTGGACACTGAGGTCCAGAGGGCCAAGCGACCTGTTTAAGGAGGCACAGATGGACAGCTGGTTAACGAGCCGGGTTTCTCTGGCACCACAGGGCAGGCTCTGTCCCAGGCCATCTGCCTCCCTGAGGCCAATTCCAGCTTCTACCCATCCGTGGTGTCTGGAATGAATGGTCAGCTCCATTCCAGGGTCTGGGTCTCGGGTCCTCTTCTGGTTTGTGACCATCATCGGAAGACATCCCTGCTGTGTTCTTTGAGCTGCAAGCTGATGCCTGGTGGCCTAGTCTGTAGGGAGCTGAGCTGTTAACCCAAAGGGCTTGCTTTTCCTACAGATCGAACCCACCAGGGGCTCGGAAGGAGAATGACTGGTAATCTCCTTCAGTGTGATTTACAGCCTCCAAACTCCAAAAGAAGGTTAGCTGTGAGTCGGTTCTAAGTCAACGGTAATGAGAGAAGGGGTCATACGTATCCTGATGAGATGATCAAGCAGCATCAAGTCTTATCTGCAGAGCTGTCCCCAGTCAGAAGGGCAGAACTGGGCTGCAGTGGACCAGGACAAGATGATTCAGTCTTGGGGCTGTTCTGACACGTGCTCAGCTTGTGGGGGGGGGGGGGAGGGTGTCTCAGGAATTTCCCTGGGCAGAACATCAGTGGGCATCCCAGTATAGACCAGGAGGGACTCCACTCCACCTAGCAGGTTGGGTGCTCCCTTGCACCCTTCTCTCCCGACTCTGGTATGGGAGTGGTTGGGCTTGAACCTTGTGGGAACTGCTGCTCCCTAAATTGCAGCCAAGGGGAGCTCTCCCTGCACCTGAAACCTGCCATTTGCTCTAGGGGTCCTATGCCTCCTAGCCACTTCCTGGACTTGGAGGGCTGCGTGGAGGAAGCATCTGGGCAGTCAGAACACTGGGGGCTGTAGAGGATGTACCCTGGAGCCGTAGTGAAACCAGATTTGACCCTGTAGGCTGTTTGCTGAGAGATCTCTACTCTCCAGCATCAGCTTACTACTTCTGAAAAGACTTTTTCTGGTTCCCTATGTCTATTTAGACCCAAGTGTGTCGGAGTCAGCTGGGCCTCAACATTGGGGGGAGGTGGCCCCAGTTCAGGCTCACTTTCCTGGTCACAAGCACCCCATGTCCCTCCCACTCACCCTGGTCAGCTCCAGCATGAGCTGCTCATTTCCTGGAGAAGTCCTCCCAGGCCCCACTGAGACACTGTGGTTTCCCCCTGCAGTGTCCAAGCGTCCTCTCCCTCCCCTGGCCTAGCCAGGCCTCTCTGAGACGAATTGATAGGTTTCCACATAAGCAGCATGTGGGGGACTCAGAAACACGTCTTTCCCACAACTTAAAAAAATGTGTGGTTGGCCTGTAAGGATGTGAGTCAACCAAGCTTCAGCCGATGCCAGTGGACAGAAAGGCCAGAGCTGTCAGCAGCCAGCAGTTCAACCAGACTCCCCAGAGCCCAGAGGCACCGGGCGTGAGGATGCTGGGAAGAAAAGACTTGGAATTCCAGGCTAGTGGTCTGAGAGGAGGGACCGGGGCTCTGCCTTTGGACCCGCCCCTAACTCTGGCCCCAGTCCTGCTGTTGGGACTGTGGGGGTCCACCTAGTGATCTGGTGTTCAAAGAAGGGCTAGCAGCGAGCAGGACCCGAGACCCAGATCATGTGAGGAGCCTTGAAGCTCCACAGTCCATACACCTTTCCTGATTCCCACCCCTATCCACAGCTCCGCCTCCACCTGCACCCCCGCCCCTACCTCCATTCTCCTCCCTCCTTCCTGAGGTTACTGGGAGGAGCCACGGCTCACAGTAACCAATCTCTTACAGCGCACCCCAAAACAAAACCACTATCACGTCCATGCCGAATCGCGGCGACCCTATGGGACAGTGAAAACGCCCCACAGGGTTCGAGCTTGTAAATCTCTCCAGAAGCAGACTGTTGGATCTTTCTACCGAACGGTTCCAAGTGCTGACGTAAGCAGCCAAGCACTTGACCCCCGCACCACCAGGGCCACAAGGTTAGTGACAGGCAGCCTTGTGAGTCCCACCAGGAGCGTTCAGGAACTGGGTCCTGGACTGACCTGTGTTCACTCCCCTCAGGGGCTCCTCCAGGGACTGCTGTCCTTACTCCTATCAGGCCAACAGAGAGAGGGCTGGGGACCCCAGGCAGCCCGCACCCCTCGAGGAGGGCACCTCGGCCAGGCTCTGTGGCCAGGCTCTTCTGCCTGGCTATGCCAAGGTGGCCGGTTCATCCCATGTGACGCCCCCTCCCTGGAGGTCCATCTCCCCACTTTACAGATGACATCAGTGAGGTCAAAAGGCCGGGGAGAAGGTAGCCCCAGTGCCTCGCCCCCGGGGGACCCTGTGGGAAGCGGGGGCGCGCACCCGTGTGGCCCTCACCCCGGCCTCGGGGCACTCACCTCGGGGAAGTCCCCCTGGACGAAGACCATCAGCAAGGACGTCTTCCCGCAGCCGCCATCGCCCACCAGGACCACCTTGGCGGACTGCGCGCCGGGCGGCGCCTCGCTCGCGGCCTGGGCAACCTTCATGCCGGGCAGGCGGCGCGGGTCCCGGCGCGGTGAGCGGCGAAGCGGGAAGCGCTCGGCTCCGGGCTGGAGGCTGCTGGCGGCAGGAATGTGGGAGGGACGGGGCGGGATGGGGCGGCGACGGGGGCGGGCGGCCCCGACCTCCACCCGGCCCGGGCCTCCCCAAGAGTGGGCAGGGGGCCGTGGGGACCCGCCTGCGCGCTGCGTCCCGCCGGGTGGGGGAGCGCGGCTGCACGGCCGCGGGAACCCGGGGACAGCGCGGGCGATAGGGGGCCCCGGGTACAGCGCGGAAGATATGGGACCCCGGGCGACAGGGGACCCCGGGGACAGCGCGGGCGACAGGGGGTCCGGGGACAGCGCGGCAGATAGGGGACCCCGGGGACAGCGCGGGCGACAGGGGACCCCGGGGACAGCGTGGGAGACAGGGGGTCCGGGGACAGCGCGGGAGATAGGGGACCCCGGGGACAGCGCGGGCGACAGGGGACCCCGGGGACAGCGCGGGAGACAGGGGGTCCGGGGACAGCGCGGGAGATAGGGGGCCGGGGGGGGAGACAGGGGACCCCGGGGACAGCGCGGGCAGACCCCGGCACCCCCTCGCTGCGCAGCTCGGGGGGGGCGATTACCCTGTTTCTGGGAGGAGAGACTTGGAACAAACCCGCAGCTCTCGCGCCCCCCGCCCACCCCACCGCCTGGGCCCGCCCCCGGATCACTTTCTCCGCCTGTTTGGTGGAAGGTTACAATGAGGCCAAAATAGTTCCTAAAGTGGAAAAACTTTTCAGGAAAAGAGGGCGTTCTGCCTGCGGCCGAGTACGTGGAAGCCTCGGACCAGGCCTCTCTGGCGCCCCTAACCCAGAATGCCGGACCCTCCGCTTAGGCCCCTGAATGCAGAATCCTGGAACAGGCCTCTTGTTCCCCTGAACCCAGAATGTTGGACCAGGCCTCTGGGGGGGCGGGGTGCCTGAACCCAGAATGCCGAGGCCTCAGAGTGGTTGGGGGGGTGGGGAGTGCGGGGCTCTGAACAGGGGAGAAGCCAGACCTGAGGTCCAGAAAGGGTTCTAGTAACCGAACTCCTCTATTTAACTTGCTCAATAATGTCTGGCAGCTGTTAATGAGAACTGCTTGCTCAGTGGTCCCCCCCTTAGAGGGCCCCCCTCAGCAAGGGCCATTCCTGAGGCTGGGGTGGATGCTGTTATGTGCTGGGGAGTGGATTCTGACTTCTAGCAACATTATAAAATGGAGTAGCTATTAACCTTTAACCCTTAAAGGAGCATAAGTAATCTTTAAAAGGGTATGTATAGCCAGGTTTCCCTCCTTGGCCTAGCCCAGCAGCCGCCTATAGGGTCAAACCACCAGTTTAACCACTGTGCCACCAGGATTCCCTTACAGGAGAGAGAAGAGACACCTGGCTGCTGATCCTGGAAGGAAGACAGTGAGCAGGGAGTGAGGCCTTGTTGGCCTCCCAGCTCCGTGGGGATAAACCTGGGTCCCTGGTGCCAAGCATGAACCAGGCACACAGCAGGAACTGGTCACCTTGAATGAATGAACAAATGCAGCTTCCCCAGGGCTTCTGGAGACAGGACCCTACGTGAAGCCACAGTTCCCTCGGGGGTTTCAGGTCAGGTGCACAGGGGAGTGGCGTGCCTTTACGGGTCAATTGCTGGCACAACTAGGCCTGGCCTGCTGTCCCCCATGGGTACCAGGAAGTTTTGCTGCAGGTGGGTGACCACCTCTCTGCCCTCTGGCTATAGCGAGATGGTAGAAAAATGATGGAACCTCCCATTTATACAGATTACCTTGGAGTCTGGCCCATAGTTCGTGGGAGAAGTTTTTATTTGAGAAGTACAAGGGCATCTCAATGTGTGTGTGTGTGTCTCCCCAAGAGCCTCAGAGTCCTGAGATGATAAAAATAAAGTCCCTGTGGTGAAAAATCTACAGTCTAGACAGCAGGGGACAGTGGGGAAAGAGCTACAGGGGTGACAGGAGGAGGCATGGGGTGGGAGAGAGGAAGGGGGGGCTCCCTCATCTAGCTTTGGGGCTGTGTGTCAGGAAACCCCTTTAGAGAAGGGGGGCCCATTGGCCAGAGTCTTGAAGGAAGAGTGGGACACAGATGGAGGAAGAAGGATGTTCCAAAGTTGGGGGGCAGAACATGCAAAGGCATGGAGGCAAGACAGGGTGTGCTCTGGGGTCCCAGATCTTTTTAAGTGAAAGTTTGGAAGTTCGAGTCCACCAGCTTCTCATGGGGAGAAGGATGAGGCAGTCTGCCCCATAAAGATTTTTAGTCTTGGAAACATGACGGAGAGGCGTACGGATAGGAACCTCATTTGAGGTCTGGTTTGGTTCAGGGTGGTAGTGCATTTTGTATGCCAAGAATGAACTCACAGGTGAACTGGAAGCCCATCGCCTGACTTCCGTGAGCAGCCCCTCTGCCCAGGTTGAAAGCTTGAACGTGTGTGAGCGTCTCCCCAGAACCAGGGCTGAGCACTTCGCTGAAACTTTAAGGAAGTCTGTGGGCTCTTCTCTGTAGAGTTCAGCCCAGGCTGGTGAAATAGCACCTTCATCTCCCTGTGAGCCTCACTCCAAGGGAGCTCTGGTGGCCAAGTGGCAAGAAGCTGCGCTGCAATCCTGAAGATGTGCAATCTTCCTCCTGTGCCAGTCAGATCTGATTCAGGCACACACCACCACCAAAAAAGAAATGCTGAAGGAGCCTGGCTCCAGCCAGGCAGGTGGGACCTCCACTACTCAGAGGCAGAGTGACTCATCAAAGGTCACAGCTGGATTCCCAGATTCCTAAGCCAGGGCTCCCCTGTGAGGCCAAGGTCTGCATCACCTGCAGGGACAGAGAATCCCAGGAACTCTCCCCCTTCAGATCCTCCTTCCTCCTCGAAACTGCCCTGGGGCTGGGCAGTGACTTGGCAGGCAGCTGGGTGTGTTGCTCCTACCTGAAGGTGTGGTGGGAGGAGCCAGTGGCTGGCTCAGCAGCTGTCAGCCTCCCCATCCCACCTTCTGCCTGCTCTCATCAGGGTTTGGGTGGGGAGGCTAGGAGGCTGGCAGGTGGGGCCAAGACTAGAACGAGGACAGAGGAGTTTGGCTTGGTTGCTATGGGGATAGTCACACTAATGTCAACCTTGAAGTCTATCTCACTTTGTAGTTTCACTCAAGGTTTCCTCATTCCTGCCGCACTCTCCCCACCAAGGTAGGGATTATCAGTCCCATTTTACAGATGAGGAATTTGAGGCCCAGAAAGGTGAAGACCAGGCAAGTGACATGCCTCCTTTTTTTTTTTTACTGATTTATTTACAAAGTTCAAATAAAGTGTTTTTCTCACTAGATCTTTCCCATTTCTTTCCTTCACACCCCTGCCATCGAATTGTAGGACCCTATCCCTGCCCATCCTCACCCTTCTGCTTCCACACTCCTCCCCCTTGGATCTTCATAATCACTCTACAATAATGGTCTTATTTGTCCTTATGTGACTAAGTTAGTTCACTCAGCACAATGCTCTCCAGTCCCTCCCAAGTTATGTAGTAATTTAAAAAATCACTGCTCCTGCGTGATGCGTAATATTCCATTGTGTGAATGTACCATAATTTCTCAATCCATTCGATTGTGCTTGGACATCTGAGCTGTTTCCATGTTCTTGTGATGGTAAATAATGCTGCTATAAACATTGGTGTACAAGTCTCCGTTAGTGCCTCAGTTCACATGCCTGCTTTTACCCTTGGACGTCTTTCATATGTGGGAACTGAAGCATGCAGAGAGGAGATCATGGCCAGCAAGGTCCAGAGCAGGATTTGAACTCAGATCTAATGCCAAGCCTCACCCAGTTCTCACGCCCCGCAAGAGCGTGATTTTTCACTAGGTTGTGACGACCTATCCTGGTTGCCAGGGCAAGCCTCAGGATCCCAGACGTCTCGGGGGCCTGGACCTCACTTTTCCTGGAATTTATTTCAAAGTGAGGTTATGGCCCTGGTTACAGCCATTCCGGGAAGGACACCAGATGTGACTGCGGAGTGAGGCTGTGGTTAATTACCTGACCAAGGTGACTCAGGCCCTGGAGGCCTCACCCAGGCTGGATTCAGAGTCCTCTGGAACTCCACCTGGTGGTCACTGCCCCACAGACCCCAGAACAGCAGAGGGGGGATCTGTCCAGGCTTGACCTAGTGCAGGACCCTCCTTCTTCCCTGATAGGTAGGCCGGTCAGACTTTCCCAGCTAAGCCTTGTCTGAGCTCACCAAGGATGGGGAGGGGAGTGGGAGGCTGACCCATCTCTGGCCCCCAGAAGCATGCCTGGTCCAGGCTTGCATTGGGCAATGTTTTTGGGCATGTGACCAGACACAGCAGGGCTGGACAGAGCAGGGGAGGGGAGAGAGGGATGGAGGAAGGGAAGGAGGGAGGGAGGAAGGGAGGGAGGGAGGGAGGGAGGGAGCCAAGGAAGAAAGAAGGCAGGCAGACGGGCCTCTCAGGAGATATACAAACTGGAGAAATGACTAAGGGAACAACTGCTGACCTGGCTGAATGCACATAACGCATGACCACGACCTGGGGGAGTGGACGCAGCACATGACCTGAGTGTGGGTTCAGGGACAGGTGGCCACACCCCACTCACCATCTGCCTGGCCCTTGGCTCAGGATCTGGTCCCTCTGCCCCATTTTCTGACCCACCTGAGCCAACCCCTCCCCCGCATCGTGGCCGCATTGCTCTCTGCTGCCCCCAAGTGGTAAGGCCGCTACCAGCTTTCTTTAGGGTTTCTGGCTTGTCAGTGCGGGTTATGGACCAGGAAGGAAATGAGGGTCTACTCCTTGGGATGCCTGGGCAGTAGGGAGGCCTGGAGTGTAATTCCTTCCCCTCCATCCTAAAGCTTCAGGAGTCGTATGCTTTGGCTCTTCCGTCTGAAGCCACAGTCTTGTGTTCAATGAACACTTTACTGTGACATTTAATTTCATTCTCTGAAGGAGGTCCCGGTCTTATTCCGCCCTTTGGGGGCCTTCGCTCTCCTTCTTCAGGTTGTGATTCTCCAGCCCTCCCCCGCAAGGCCAGATCAGGCTTCTCCTCCTCCAGGAAGCCTTCCATGGTGGTCTCCCCTCCACTCTGCAGCAGCCTGTGTCATTGATAGTTCTCAAGCAGGGTTCAGTTCTAGGGGTGGTGGTTGATGGGAAGGAAAGTGGGGTGGGAAAGAGTCTGGAGGGAGGACCCACAGGGTCTACACTACAGTCGTCCACTGGCTGTAAGTTTCTCTGCCAGGAATTCCACCCACAGTCTGGTCAAGCGGAGGGATGCTTTCCCTCAGCCCCCATCTGGAGGAGTCAGGGCTGGTAGCATGGCAGTCAGTGTGATGTAGTGGTTATGAGGACCAACTCCGAGCCACACAATCCCGGTCTGAATCCCAGCTCAGCGGCCTCCTGGCTGTGTGACATCAGGTTACACCTGTCTGAGTCCATTGCCCCATCTGCAAAGAGGAGGTACTAGCAGCATCCACCTCTCAGGGGTGTAGCCTGGACACCCGGAGTCCATAAACTTCTGAGGCCTGTCCTCTGCAGGTTTCTGTCCCTTCCTCCATCCTTGCTCTGTTGGCCGAAGTCGAGCTGGGTAAATAGGCTGAGTTTCAGTCCACTCTGGTCCGTTTGTAGGTGCTGTTCCATGTCAGGAATGCTTCTCCCATCTTGTCCACAGGATCTTCTCTTAGGGCTTGAGTTGTGGGGCACCTCAAAATATCAACTTGGCTGAACTGTGATCCTCAATATTATGTAGTTATCCCCATTTTGAGATCTTATGCAAATCCTAACCTGTGTGATTTTAATGAGACAGAATTAGAAGCAGTTATGCTAATGAGGTCAGATACAATCTCCTGGATTTGGCTGTTATCTTGAGTCAATCTCTTTTGAGATCTAAAAGGGATTAAGGAAGTGGGTAGAGAAGGTGGGACTTCTATGGAGAAAAACCCTGGGGAGACTGAAGAGGGTCCCCCAGAGATGACAGAGAGGCTCCTCCGGAGAGCTCAGGCCTGGACTCATGGCTCTCATCAGAACTGTCTCAACAGACCTTCCTGCAGCTTTCCAAGGCTGTAAATAGCACGGGAGCTGCCTGCTCATCCTATTCCCCGGAGAGCCGAAGGTGGGATTCGAACAGCCAGAGAGCTTGACCTTCATATTACACAACCAAAACCCTAGAGAGCTGGCACCCTGAATGTGGGCTTCAAATCATACTTGTGGCATTTCACGGTCTCTGTTTGTTAGAACCACTCACTGGTAGTATTTCTGCTCTAGCAGCCGTAGAAAACTAGGACCCTCTCCTGGGCCTAGAGTGTTGCCACTGGGAAGCCTTTCTTGATGCCCCCTGCCCTTCTCAGCCTGATGGCCTCTACTCCCTCAGGGGGATGGACACATGGCAGGAAGCCTTGTTTCCTGATGCTCAGAGAAGAGAAGAGACACAGGTGAGACCCCTCCTTCCTGACCCAGCTTTATTTTCTCCATTCGCTGGCCCTTCCTGGGGGCACAGCCCACATTTCATGCAGTGAGGGATGAGGGAGGGGCGGGGATGGCCTGCCTGTCACACCCACTGGGAGGGTCTAGTGCTGCCTCCAGCTGATGGCCATCCTGGGTCCTCATTCCAGTCACCACTGCCATCCCATGTCACCAGGATACCTGACCAGGCTGGGTTCCATGGCTCACAGGGTCAGGGCAGCTGGTGGGAAACCCACGCTCTCACCCATGGGAGCCCTGTAGCACACACGCACCCTCCATCGTAGCACACACACACCCTCCATCCCTTCCAACGGCTAGTGCACCCTCCCCCAGCCGTGAGGGTGCCAGCAGTGCACCCCTAGTGACCCTATAGGACGGAGCAGAACTGCCCTTAGGGTTTCTGAGGCTGTGACCTTTATGGAAGGAGCTGAGGAGGGACGATGACCCACAAAGATTTACAGCCTCAGAACCCAACAGGGTCACTGTGAGTCGGAATCAATTGGACTTTGTCTTTAAAAATCTTCACAGATGCAGACCGCCTCATCATTCTCCTGCAGGACGGCTGTGGGGTATGAACCTCTCACCTTCTGGTTAGTAGCCCAATGCTTATTCTATTGTGCTATCAGGGCACAATGAGCTTGTCCAGCTATTTGCTTCTCAAGGACCTGCCCTGGGCTGAGGGGATTGGAATCCACTAGAACCTTCCACTGTCATCACGTCGATTCAGACCTCCGTGACCCTGGAGGACAGAGCAGAAAAGCCCCTTTGGGTTTCTGTAAATCTTTATGGAAGATTGTCTCATCTTTCCTAGATTGGAACTACTGACCTTTTGGTTAACAGCCCAAGGCTTAATCCACATGCTACTGGGGCTCTTTGAATTCCTAGAAACATCCTCAGGTTCCCCATCTCCTAGCAGCTGGGTCAGCAGCCTGGCTAGGGTGGAAGGACACAGTCCAGCACCCAGGCTTCTGGGCAGGAAGGCCTGGGAGGGCCCTCAAGGCTCCAAGGGCTCCAGCCATCCAGGCTTTTGCAGTTGCTATTGGTCCCTGTCCATCTGCTTCCCTTTCCCTCCTGGTTGTTCCTGAGGGCACTGTCTGCAATAAAACCCCAATTGTCCAGGAACCCCCTTCAGTGCCTGCTTGTAGAAAACCCGACCTAAGTCCCCCAAGGGCCCGGAGCTGTGGGCGGTGCCCCAGGGCTGCCTCCTTCCCTGCCTGCCTCCATGTTTATCCTTCAGACCACCCTTCTGACCTGCACACCCCCAGTGTCTCACAGAGTGCCATCCGGCTAGCTCTTCTCACTGTACTTCAGGCAATGCCCAGCTTAAAGGCATCTTCACCTCATCAAAGCCTCTCCCTCTGGGGGTCCAGTCTCTGTCCTGCTGGCCAGCCCCCTGCAGCCCCCCAGGCACTAACAATGTTTGGTGAGCCCATGCCCGATTTGCAGGGGGACGAAGGTGGCCAGGCGGTGGCCGAGGTTCAGGGATTCTTCTGTATCCCATACAATGACTCGGAGGCCATCTCCACACCAGCGGTGGCCGGCTGGCCTCTGTTTGGGGCTGATTTTCTTCCTGCCCTCGGAGGGCCTCAACTGTGTCCACGGCAGGGAGCTGAAAACTGCACTGGGACAGGAAGCTCATCCTTCTGTCCCCACACCGCTGGCCAGGTTCACGTTCCAGCCCCAGCCTAGCTCTTTATCTGGTCATGTGGACCTTCCCCACGTTCCCCAGTCCCCAGAGCGCTCCCCAAGTCTGCAGGGCTGTGCCACAATTCAGCACTGAGCGGGCCACCCCAGGGTGGGGTTTGTCCTGTGGTGGCAGGGGGGCTGTCACCCCTGTAGGCTCCTCGCATACCCCATGGTCTTGGGCACTTGCTCTCTTCCTGTGCTTGGCCTGCTTAGTGGCTACACTCCAAGGCAGAGTGGAGTGGGGGGCTTGCTGGCTCTGGGAGGCTGAGCGTCCCACCCAGGAGAGGGATAGTAAATGGTCGGGACCAGGCGCCTTGCTTGCTGTCCTCCCAGCCACAGCCGGGTTCCTGGGCAGACACCCAGGCCAGCTCCTCCATCGCAGTCTGGACAGAAGACTACACTGGCTCTTGGGGACCCTGTCAGGTGGACCGAGTGCTCCTGGCTCCAGGTGGATTATGGTGAAGGGCGCTGGACAGAGCTGAATTTGCATCTGGCCCCGCTGCCCGTTCTGGCCCCGGCCCGGCTGCTAGTTTCGCCGCACAGGGTGCCACATGGACACAGGCCTGCGCAGTGTGGCCAGCATCTGGTTCCAGTGCGTGGTGCCCATGCCGCTGGCTGCTGGCCCAATGATGACGTGACCCACGTTGTCCCCACGGCCATCGCTGCTGCTCTCAGCCACCGTCACGCGGAGAGACAGGTCCTGTGGAGGAAGGGACATGAGTGCTGGGGACCAGGAGCCATGCCAGTGGTCACCCTTGGCTCCGGGGTCCCAGCCGACAAAGGTCAGGTCCCTTCGAGATGCCAGGCATGACTTCTCAAATCCTCACCTCCACCCAAGAGGTGAAGAGACTCACCCACGGCTGCCAGGTGAAGGCGTGGCGGGGCGAGGATTTGAACTCGGTCTGCCAAGCCCCACAGCCCACAGTGTAGATAAGAGCCAGACCGCTCAGTTCTGCACGCCCACTGCCTTGCTGTGTGACCTTGGGCAAATGACTGAGCCTCTTTGTACCTCAGTTTCCTCATCTGCAAAATGGCGATGATGACAGGTGCCCAGGAGCTCTGGTGGCCCAGTGGGTAAGGCGCTGTGCTGCCAACTCAAAAGCAGGCAGTTGGAATCCACCAGAGGAGAAAGACGGGCAATCTCCTCCCCTGCGATTTACAGCCTCTGAAAACTCGCTGGAGGCTCGGCTGCGAGCTGATTCTGACTCGGCAGCACTGAACAACATCTCCTAGGGCTCCTCTGGGTGGGAAGTGGGCTAAAAGCACAGTGGTTGTCTGCTGCCTGAGTCCAGTCGCCCCCGGCTCATAGTGACCTCACGTGTTACAGGGAGAAGTCCTGCACACGGCGGCTTTCTTGCTGCCACCTGTACAGGAATGGTTTGCCAGGCCTTACTTCCGCAGATCCCTTGGGTGGGTTCGAGTGACCAGCCTGTGTGCCGGCAGGCAGGCAGGCTTCTTCTCAGGCAGCCTCTGCTGACCAACAACATGCTCTGAATAGGATTGTCTGGGGATTCTGCTGCTTGTCCCTTGTGAACACCAGTGTCCTCAGTACCCACTATCGGGCAGCGGGGCACCTGGTGGGTGCACAGTAAATGGCTCATTACCTGAAGGGTGATGACTGTGCGCCAGCCATCGCCACCTTCTGGAGGTGCAGGAAGCAAGGCTGGGGGTGCACAGAGGGCCCCAGGGAATGGGGTGACCTGTCAGCCCTGCCGCCCTCACCTGGAGCAGGGCCACCGGCACTGAGAAGATCATGGCCTCGTTGAACACGGGGTGCGGGTCGTCCCTCTTCACAGCCGTCTTCTTTTTGCTCATCTTCCTCCCGTCCTGCAGCAGGTACACCTTGACGAAGGGGTCTGTGGGTGGGCCAGGAGGAGGGGCTGAGGGCCAGTGTCACAGCCCTGCCCACCTGGCTCGTCCTCAAACCTCCACTGTTGCCTCCTCTCATCCTTTACCGTTCCCATTTTATAGACGAGGAAAATGAGGCTCCCAGCGCACTGAGGGAAGAGCTGGGCTCTGGCCTCACAACCCGCACATGAACGCCCCTTAAAGGGGACCCTGGGAGCTCAGCAGACCCAGAACTTTGCATCCTAGAAACAGCCGAGAGCAGACCTCAGCCGGAGCCATCTGTGTGCCCTTTGCCCTGCCTGACTCATGGCGTGTGGGTCTGACATGACAGTCACCTGCCACCCACCAGGTGACTGTGCTGCACCTGTTGGGGCTCAGGTCCTCCGCCAACTACACACCCTCCCCCTGGCTGGCACCTCCCAAAGCATGGTCATTGCCACCTACAGCACTCTGTATCCAAATGACAGCTGTTTTCATGACTGTGGCTGGTGCTGGGGGCATCTGGCAGATCAGGTACTCACCCCATCCTGGGGGGCCCTGGCCCTTGTTTGACATAGGGCCATTCTGTGTCTGGTCGCAAAACCTCCCTCGTGAACCCCAGTTCTGGAAAATGGGTGCCCACCTTGCTTCCCTGTCCAGGGCCCCTCCTGCTCTCAGACTTTCTATTACTCAGCCCCCCAACTGTCCCCCTCAAGGGGGCTCCCCACCGTCCTCCATGGAGCCTGCTTCCTAGGCCAGATTTATCTTCCCACCACGCATGACTCCTGTGCCCAGCAAAAGCTGCAGGAGGGGGACTGGCGCCATGCCCCACACCTGCTCGTGCCTCTGGGTCTCGGGGGGACACGGAACGAGGGCACAGCTGCCACTCTGCCACGCAGAGGCCCCAGGCAGAGTCAAGCGGCCAGCATGTACCCCCTTACCCGCTGTGGTCTTGTTGTTGGTCCAGATGAGGTTCTTGGCCTTCACCACCACCACTGTGAGGCGCTCGGCCGTGGGCAGGTAGCTGAGGGACAGCAGGATCTCGCCTACGGCATCAGCGGCCTGAGGGACAGGCGGGTGGCTCAGACGGCTTTCCGTCAGGTCTTCGATTGCCAGGAAAGGGCAGGAGTCCACAGAAAATGCACACCAAGCTGCTGCCACCAGGAAAGAGGCTCCCACCCCCGAGAGCGCGTGCTGCCTGCACCACCTCTGGCCCCTGCCAGCGTCAGCCCTGCCTCCAATGCAGCAACCAGGCGCAGTCTGGTTCCCAACTGCTCATTTCAGGCCTAGACAGTGCTCCATGGTGGTGCAAAGGACACGCTGTTACTGTTGTGCACTGAGTCAGAAGACTCACAGGTGAGCCTCCGGTGCGTGTCAGAGGCAGTAAATCACCCGGGAGGAGACTGCCCATCTTCCCCCCATGGAGCTGCTGGTGGATTCGACTGTGTGCCTTTGGGTTGGCAGTGCAGCTCCCTGCCACTAGGCCACGAGAGAAAGTAGCATTAGGTCACTTGCTTCAGTAACCGTGATGCTGCCCAAACTGCCCCACTCAAAAAGGTGGCCCTCAGCTTGGCCACGCTAGGGCCAGAGGGGAGCTTCCTTGTCAGAAGGCCTGTAGGAGGGGCCCCTGGAGGTCTTGTAGGCGGAGCCGCGGAGGCTGTACACGGGACGGGGGGCGGGATGCCTTCGTGTGCACGCACTAGTGGAGTTTCCTTGAACATAGCTCAGCTCTCCTCCCCTGCTCCCCTCAAGCAGCTGGAGTTCCACGTAGCAGGACTCTGAGGGGTCAGGTGGAACCCTTAGGGGCAGACTCGCCTTGTTCTGGTCCTGCAGGTAGAGCCAGCCGCCGAAGGGCTGCAGCGGGAGGTCCAGCACGGACAGCTTCAGCTCCACCACGCCGGTGCTCACGTTGCGCTCGTCTTCATCGATGCCGAACACCGAGAACCGCAGGCTCTTCTCCTCCAGGGCGTCAGGGTCCAGGGGGATGGAGAACTTCTCATCGAAGAAGATAGAGTAAGCATTCCTCTGGATCTGCAGAGAGAAAGGGCCGCGGAGGGAGCTCTGAAGTTGGAGAAGAGGTGGTAGCCGAGGCCTGGAAGGCTGTGGCAGGGAGAGCACTGGACAGGGAGTCCACGGACCTGGGCTGCAGTCTGGTACTGCTGTCCCCACAGCCATTCATCTTTCCTTTGGGGTTCAGCCTTGACTTCCATGGTCTGAAAGCCCTCTGTCCAGCCCTCAGTGATGGCTAGTCCAGTGGCCTGCCGTCAGAAGTCCCCAGCACCTGACCCACTCCACCTAAAACATCCTCACCTTCATCTTATCTCATCTCATCTCACCTCATCTCCTCTCACCTTACCTCACCTCATCTCCGTCTTATGTATTCCTCATTGACCACCTTCAAGGAACTCCTGTGACTCTCAACATCTTTTTCTCCCAGGAAGGTGACAAAGCTTCGTCTTACATACTTTGGACATGTTCTTAGAAGAGATTATTTCTTGGAGAAGGACATGATGCTTAGACAAGTGGAAGGTCAGCGAAAAAGATAGTGGCACACAGCACTGCACAATGCACACACAGTGACCGCAGCAATGGGCTCAAGCATGTCAGAGAGGATGGGATGACACAGGACAGGACAGGACAGTGCAGATCTGCTGTTCATGTGATCACTGTGAGTTGTACTGATAACATCTAACAACAATGCTCCTGACAACTCCGGCTGTGCCCTGGAAACCCCAGGGTGGGGGCCAACCTTCCCTTATCCCTCAAAGCCCCCCATACGAGTCCCCTCACTCAGGGAAGCTCTCTCAATGCCCTAGGCAGAAGGCGTCCCTTCTGTGGATCTGCTCCACACACGCTGTGACACTCAGCCCTGGAACTGCTGGTTTCTGAGTTTGAGCCCTTGGACCCTGAGCAGCTCCTAGGGAGCGGGGCTCCGTATCTCCTGTACCTGCTCTAGCAGCCATCCCGAGCCAGATGCATGCTGGGTGTGCGGCCAAGAGTCACCCAGGTATCTGTCAGGGTAATGCTGTGTGGCCTTGGGCAAATCCCTTAACCTTGTTGAGTCTCAGTTTTCTTCTCTGTAAAAGATTCACATTTTCTTATCTTTTAGGGGATAAAAGGGGGAACTCACTAGTTCTCACAAGCTAGACCAATAAACAACATCATAATAAACAGAAAAAAAGAAGCAAGTTGTCAAGGATTTTCATTCACTTAGTTCTACGCCCACGGCATCAGTCCAGGTGTACTGAAAGAGGCAGATGTGCACAAAACCCCTGCAAACTGCTCACAAGCAAAGATCTCACCCTGAGAACTCGGTGCGTGAGACTTTCAATCACCTCACAGGCACGTGAGAGCTGGGCGTGCGTGGGGCAGACGGGAGAAGCCCTGCCCTCTCTGATGAGGTGTTGATGTAAGAACGCTGACACTATCCCCGCCTGCTGGAGGAAATGTTGTGGAGGAAGAACACCCAGAATGCTCTTCAGAAGCAAAGACAGTGATACTTTGTCTCGTGTCCTGTGGTTACGTCATCAGGACAGACAAGTTAAACAGAATGCCAGTGAAGAAGGGGAAGGCCCTCAACAAGCTGGACTGACACAGCAGCAGCAACAATGGGCCCGAGGCACCATGATGGGAAGGACAGTGCAGGACCGGGCGGTGCTGTGGTCAGAGTGGACACCTAACACCTACTTGAGACAACACGAGTGCTGATGTGCTGATGCTAGAATGAAGCTTGGTGCAGAGGGGGCAGCTGACAGAAGCTGATCATCTGGCCCAGGGCCTTCAGCTTGAGGGTACAGCCTGCAATCCCACGCGGAGCCAGGGTGAACGTTCTAGAAGCCCTGCCTTCCTGTTCTCCACCCAGAGCAGCAGACGGAAGCTCAGTGGTTCAGTGAGTGCAGGGGCTCACAGCACCCACGAGCATGTCAAAGGGAGCACACCCCAGGCTGCCGCCCCCCCCCCCGATGGTGATAACTGGCCCTGTCTGAAGACCTTGCTGCTGACCATGCCCCTCTTGAGATCCAGCCTGGAGGACACATGGTATTTGTGTGCTTGGCCCAGGCTCTCAGGTCAGCCACATAGTCAGGCCAATCAGATGGCGCTGTCCTGGGAGTGGGACCTGCTCGTGGCCCAGCCTGGGGTCCATGTGGTGCTCGTGGGAAGGGTCCAGGGTCAGCGGTCAGTCAGGCTGTTCTGTCCTGGGAGTGGGACCTGTTGTGGCTTCCACAGAGGGTCTCCATTGGTCTGCTGGGGGTAGGGCCTGGGAGAGTCCACTGAGCAGCATACTCAGAGGTCACTGAGTCAACCTCCAACCAGCAGAGGGCCCCATCTTGGCCACCTGATGTATCTTCTCAGGGCTGCCATTGCCCTGGGGTAAAATCATCTCCATCCCCAGGTCTCATCCCCTGCCCTCATACTTGCCCCCTCTCCCTCATGCTCCGAGTCTCAGCATGGTTATCCTTCCTCCAGGAAGCCTCTCTGACCCTCAGGCCAGCTGCTTCACTGCAGGTCACCAGCCTGCCCAGGGGCCCGGGAAGCCTTTCCTGCCTTAATCACTCTTTATACAACAGTCATTACACACAGTGTGAGTCTGTGTACACTGCAGACTCTGGTGCCCCAAGCACTGTGGGATGGATGGATGGATGGATGGATGGATGGACGGACCGATGTGTGGTGGGTGTCACTGGACTCCCCCCAGGAAGCTGCATGCAGGCATCTTGTGGGGGTTACCCAGAGCACTGCTCCCCCTTCAAAGGCTGCGTGGGCCACCCCCTGGTGGTATTTCAAGACAAGACCCTTATTCCTACCATCTGTTCTGAAGCTACTGCGTGGACCACACCGCCTAGCAGTATTTCAAGACAAGACCCTCATTCCTGGCATCTACCCTGAAGCTGGAGGACTGCCCATTGTGGTGGGTCCTACTGGGCTGTGAGGCTAAGAACCTGCCCCTCCTCCAAGTGCCCTGATCACGCCCTGATACTACTGCCTGGGCCCCAGAAAGGAGTCTCTTACTATCCTCTGTGGCATGTTCCCCACCCAGCTCCCCATTCCAGAACCTTCCCTGGGGGAAGAAGCTCCCTGCAGCCCAGCCCAGTCCCTGACCTCAGCACTCACAATCATGTCCTCCTGTCCATCTCTCTCAGATCTGGCTGAACTAGTCACATTGCTGTATCCAGCCTGGCTCTACACATCCACTGTCCCAGGAGGGGTCTCCAGTGAGCCCAGACCCTTCTCCACCGGTGCAGCCAGGCAGTCCCCACAGATTGGGGTCCTACCCAGTGCCCCCGCTCCTGGCTCCTCTACCGATGCAGCCAGCCACAGTCCCCACAGATTGGGGGTCCCACCCGGTGCCCCTGCCCCAGCTCCACTTACCCGGGAGATGCCCACGATCTGCTCATCAGGCAGCAGGCTGACGCGCATGAAGCAGGACTCGAAGCTGGCCTCCTCCCGCTCCAGGAGGTCCTTGCCCTGCAGCAGGGCCACGTGGAGCGTGTGCGAGGCGGCGTCATAGTCCATGCTCACCTCCACCTGGCCCAGCGTGAAGTCCTGCCCGAAGGTGTTGCTCACGGAGGAGATGGAGTTCAAGGAGTCCGCTGACTGCGACTTGCGGAGGGTCCCATAGGGGGCCAGGTCCAGCTCCCGGCCCATCAGCTCCAGGGGCCCCAGCTCGCTGATGCTCTCAAAGGTGTCCTCAATGCTGAGGCTGGCTTTGCGGCTGGAGGGTGCCCGCACGCTGGCACGCTGGCCGGTCCAGGCAGGGGCCCTCTGAGGATGAGGAAAGGGGAGATGGAGGCATCACCCAAGTAAGATTCAGGGACCTTGGGGAGATGGGGAGGAGTGGAGGGAAGTCCTGGCTGTTCAGACCTCCCCGCCCTTGGAAGGTCCTTGTTTGATTCTGCTTTGTGTTACATCATTTTCTCTCCCCAATCAAGTTGCAGGAAAGTTCCTCCCATCATGTTTATTCATATAGATGGTCCCACACACAGAGGCATCCAATGTTATGATGTAAGCTGAGTGCCCAGTGGGACGGGAAGGGGTAATAGACCAGGTGCAGCACTTAACAGATGCCAGGCAGCCTCAGATGAAGTTCACAAGAAGCATTTACTGGAGCAGTGCACCCAAGCACAGGGAGCCGCTGAGGACGGTGCAGGATAGGACGGGGTTCTGACCTGCTGTTCATAGGTCACTACGAGTCGTACTCAACTAAATCCACCTCGCAACAACAAAAAGCTGAGAAAAGTTAATGTTGGATAATAATAAAAGCAGCCCAACGCACTGCCAATGAGTTCCTCCCACATCACAGCGACCCTCTGCTGAGTGTCTGAGGTTGTACAAATTTTTAAAAGAATTTTATTTTTTCTGTGTGTCCCATCAAGTTGAATCTGACTGGTACCGGAGGACACTGTCCCTCCTTCTCCAGCAGAGCATCTGGTGGATTCGAACCGAGCACCTCTTGGATCGCAGTGCAGCTTCTTACCACTAGGCCACCAGAGCTCCCTTGAGGCCACAAGTGGTGGACTCGTCTTTCTCCCTAGACACAGCTAGTGGACTTTTCTGGTAGCAGCCCAGCACAGGCCTCACTGCACCACCAGGGCTCCTGGGTGGATAATGCTTGCCCTCAAGCAGCTCTGGCAGCACAATGGTGAAGCCCTCAGCTGCTAACCTACAGGTTGAGAGTTTGAATCTACCCAGCAGCTCCATGGAAGGAAGGCTTGACAGTCTGTTTCCATAAAGGAAACCTACAGGGATGTTCTGCTTCGTTCGTCGAGGCTGACGGGACCTAACAGCAGCGACACTCAAGACCTTTTCGTTTCTCTAAATTGACCTTGAGTTTGGGAAAGCACTTGCTTTTGTGCAAAAAGCAGCTCTCGAGATGCTGAACCGTCTTCATTTTGATACTTCATACAGCTCCCCATGGACTTTTCATTATTCCCCAGGGGCTACACATTTGAGAAGTCCTGGTGGGACTGTGGATAAAGCACCATCCTGATAACTGAAAGGTCAGCAGTTTGACCCCACCAGCTGTTGAGCGGGGAAGGATGTGGCAAGAGTGCGGACCTCACAGCCCTGGAGGACAGTTTGGGTAGCCTTCAGTGCCGCAGGGAGCACATCAGCTCTACGGCAGTGGGTCAGCTGGGTTGTTGGACATCTAGATTGCTCTAAATTTTATTTTATTATTTTCTCTCTCTCTCTCTCTCTCTCTCTCTCTCTCTCTGTGTGTGTGTGTGTGTGTGCCACCAAATCAGATCTGACAGATACAGGAGGAGATTGTCCCTCCTTCTCCAGCAGAGCATCTGGTGGATTCGAACCATGCACCTCTTGGATTGCAGTGCAGGTTCTTGCTAGTAGGCCAACAGAGCTCGCCATTGCTCTAAATTTTTTGCAAATGTAGCAGCATCCAACTGCTATCTGGTTTGTGTCCTGAGGCAGAGAACACAGGCCTTTGGAAGCATTTGAAGCTGTTGCCAAAATGCTCTTTGAAAAAAACTTTGCCCATTTACACATCCTCCCAACAGAGTGAGAGAGTGTCTTCCCCGATGTCTTCCCAACACCCTGAGCGGGTGGGACCCCAATCTGGTGACACATTCTGGCTGTGCTCCTGGAAGCCCACATGAGGGTGGAAAGTCTTTTTGCCAAGTCTTCCAGGATGCAGCACCCCACAGTGGATATCGAGGGCTCTGAAAAGTTCTCACAGCCTGAGGCAGGGATTCTGCATTTGGGTAAATTACTTGAGCACATCACCCCGAATGGACACAAAGTTATGCATGTACAACATTTAGTGCATTATTTATAATGGCATTTAGTAAGCCATGTCTCAGCCATGAAAGTATTTATGGTGTATGTTCAGCCTTATGGGAAAATGTATCAGCCAAAAGTAAGAGGGAAAAAGAGCAGGGTATAAAACTCTGTTGAGATGAAACCCTGGTACACAAAGGAAAGACTGGGGTGGTGGGGGTGAAACCTGACTGAGTAAACTGGAAAGAACGGATAAAACTAGAAACAGGTAAAAACAGCCAGCAGCTGCTTGCCTAAGTTGTTGTTGTTATGTGCCATCGAGTCGCTTGTGTACAGCAGTCTTAAACCTGCTCTTTCCTGTGCCAATTTTATTGCCTCTGACACACCCATCCCCTTTACCCCAGTCACTGAATCAATCCATTTCATTGAGGGTCTTCCTCTCTTGTGCTATCCCTCCACCCTCCCAAGTAGGACATCATTCTCTAAGGACTGGCTTCTCCTTGCAACATGTCCAAAGTATGTCAGACGAAGCTTCAGAATCCTTACCTCCAGCAAGCAGCCTGGTCTCACCCTCTCCAGGATGAACCTGTTTGTTCTCTTAGCAGTCCATGCTATATTCAATACTCTTCACCAGCACCACAGCTCAAAGGCATCAATTCTATATCATCCCTAGTCATTGTCTAGCTTTCTGATACACAGCAAGTAATTGCACAGACCATGGCCTGAATCAAGTGCATCTTAGTCTAGTATTTGGGATATTTTTCTTCTTTACTCCTTGCGGCATTTTCCCATATGTGATGGGCTGCTAACCAAGAGGTCAGCAGTTCAAATCCATCAGCTGCTCTGAGGAGAAAAAGGAGTAAATCTGTTCTGGCTGAGATTTTACAGCTGGTAAACCCAGCGAAGGGCCACTCTGAGTTGGCATCGGCTCAATGGCAGTGGGTTTGGGTTTTGGGCATTTCTCTTGGGATGGTTTTCAAAATGGAATTTTGGTTGAATTCATTCTTTCAACAAATACTTATTGATTACCAAGGAGCTCTGGTAGTGCAGCTGTTAAGCTCTTGGCTGCTAACTGAAAAGTTGGCAGTTGGAATTAATTACTGGGTCATGGAAGAAAGATCTGGCAATCCACCCCTGTAAAGGTGGTTGTTGTTGTGTGCTGTCAAGTCAGAACTCACCCACAGCTGACCCTCCATCTAATTCTCAAAGGCAGTAAATCTGATGGGAGGTGACTGCCCATCTTTCTTCTGTGGTGGTGAACTGTGTGCCTTTCAGTTGGTTATCAAGGAAAACGTGTGGGCAGTCTTACACGACCACACTGGCCTGGCACCGCCTGATGGCACTCACAACAGTAGGACATGTGAGCACCGGATCTGTGGGGGGTGGATGAAGCGAACTGGGATCTGTTCTAGGGAGGAAACTCCCTAGGTGGGGAGGGTTGGGAAAGGCAGAGTCCATCCTGAGAGGGGACAGGGTGGGCATGCTGAGCCCCACCTGTGAGCACCTGAGGGGCAGCCACCTCACCTTCTGTCTGGCCTCCGCGTAGGTCTCTCCATATTTCCGCTGCAGGTATCGGTAGTCATAGTTTGGGAACGGGGAGGGGCTGGGGAAGCTCCCCGACGTCCAGAGCTTCCACAGGCTCACAGCTGCAATTCCCAGAAGAGCCAGGGCCCCAGCAGCGTAGACGCCCACCTCCCAGCCAGGGGGGCTCTTGATGACTGCAAAACAAGGGCGGCCCTTATTAGTGGCCACAGGATCCCCAAGTGGTAAGAGACCCTCCACCCCAGGGAGCAGGGGTGACCACTGTCCCACCCAGCCTGGGTCCACTGGAGTTTCTGAGTGAGGAGTCTGGGGAGAAGGAGAGGAGATACTTCAGATGGGAGTCTGCTGTATGCCAGCACTCTGTGGGCAGAGGCAGGCATGGCGGCTAGCCAGTTTCAGCCCCTTCCTCTGCCATTAAAGAGCTCACTGTCTGGGGGTAAACAGAGAAAACAGGGTGATGGGAGTTGAGTTGGGAAGAGCTTAGGAGGGCTTCCTGGAGGAGAGGCACCTGAGCTGAGCTATGAAGGTAAAGAAAGAAGTGTGCCAGGTCAAAGCAAGGGGGGCCGGATGTGTAGGCATAAAGAATGAAGGACAGAGAAAGGACCCAGAGAGAGTGGGGTGTCCAGAAAGGGATGGGAAGGGATTCTATGGGCTGGAGAGATTGTGCACCTCTGTTTCCTGTAGTCTGGCACACAGGGAGGAATGCTGGCCACGCTGCCCTGTTCCCCCGGAGGCCAGCCAGCTCTAGTTGAATCCACAGCACACACTCACTCTGGGGTGGACAGGTCTTAGCCTTCAGTCACAACATCTACCAAGCCCTGTGAGCAGAGGCAGGAGCCCGGGTGGCGCTGTACATTAAGCACTCAGCTCATAACCGAAAGGTTGTTGGTTTGAACTCATCCACCCCTCCCTGAGAGAAAGCTGTGGCAATCTGCTCCTATGACAATTTATAACATGAGGAACTTTGTGAGCTGTTTTGGCAGCAGGTAATGAGACAGGTAAGAGCTCTGGTGATGTAATAGTTAAAGTCATAGTATCTAATTAAGAAGCTGGGAGTTCGAATTCACAGCCACTCTGTGGGAGAAAGCTAGAGAGATGTGGCATTTGCTTCTGTGGTCATTCACAGTCTCTGAAACCAGGTGGAGGGTGCGCTGTGTCAGAACTGACTGGAAAGCGGAGCGAGCTGGAAATCAGCAGAGGTGGCAGCTCTGGTGGTGCAGTGGCTACAGTATCGGTCTGTGAACCAAGAAACTGGCAGTTCAAACTCACGGGCCACCCTTGGGAGAAACTGGTGGCTTCCATGAATGTCTGCAGCCTTGGGGACCCTATGGGGCAGTTCTCCTCTGTTCTGAAGGCTGGCTGCTAGGTGGAACCATCACAGATGTGGGGTGAGCCAAGGGAGGCAGCTGCAGACACAGGGCGCAGCCATCTGGGCTCCCAGCAAGGCCCTGGTGTCTCTGGCCTTTGGCAGCCCCCCTAAAAACAGAGATGACAAACAAAGACGTCTTCCTCTCAGGAGCCCACCTCAGGGAATTTATGTGAAAGGAAAAATCCCAACAAGCTTCAGTGTCTGCTGTGAGTCATCCAGGCTGTATTCAAACAGCCTAGATCTGGAAGCGTCCTGAAGGTGTTTCCGGAGTGTGTGTGTGTGTGTGTGTGTGTGTGTGTGTGTGTGTGTCCAGCGGGGGTGGCGGCACTGCCTTGGGAGGGAGTGTTACCGACCTTCGAGAGTGACAACTGAGGTGATGAGGATGGCACCTTGGCAACGTGGAGACATGTCTCCGTCATTGTTAAGAGAGAGAAAAAAAAATCAATCCCCCGCATGGGATGGCCCCACGTTAACATGGTAATAAAGGACAAGATGCAGTGGGGGGTGGAGGCGGTGGACCAGGGACGAACAGAACCATGGGTAATAAAGAGCGCGAGGTAGTCTCCTTTGAGCCTGACTTCTCTGGTGGATGGGACATCATTTGTGAGCTAACCAAACCACAACAAAGAGATACGCAGAGCGTCCCTGGTCCAGCTCATCGTCAGCAGACTGCAACGCAAAGTTCTGGAAGCTAGGTCAACTGGTGATGGGTAAACCGCGGCAAGAGAGTTCTGGCCTTGGGGTAAGGAGCTATACCGCCAACACAGAGGCACACGGTTCGAGTCCACCAGTTGCTCCACAGGAGATCCTCCTGTGTGATATACCGCCTCTGAAAATCCACAGGCAGGTGGTACCAGAGGAAAACAATCCACGGTGTGTGGCACATGTGACAGCTCCTGCGGAGATCGCTTCAGCGAGGCCACAGCAGCTGGATCTTGGCACTGCAGGGGCTGGGGAGCAGGAGCTGGCCAGGGACTGAGGGCACAAGTGGGTCCTGGGCATGGCTGGGGTGGCAGACAGTGTCAACCTCCCCAAGAAAGGGCTCCTGGTCCCGGAGGGACGGATGCCAGCTATCTGGTTGGCAGAAAAACAAGACAGGGCTAGGGGGTGCCAAACGGCCAAGCCCAGGCTTCCTCAGAGCTGAAGGAAACCCCAGAAAGGTGACATGAGAGCTTTGATGGCCTAGAAGCAAGAAGCTGCACTGCAATCCCAAAGTTATGCAGTTCGAAGCCACCAGCTGCTTCATGGGAGAAGGATGGGCAATCTCCTCCCAGGCGCTTAAATGCCTCTGAAAACCCGCCAGAGGGTCAGCTAGGGGTTGGTTCCAGCTGTACAGTACACAACAACAACAACAGCAAACTATAAAGAACAGACGAGATAACAACGCATTTGTTTTATCCTCACTGGGTGGTAAGAGAATTCCCAGGGGGAAACGAGGTCTAAACTAAGACTTGAAAATGAACTGTCGTAGAAACAGCAGGTCTCCTTAGAAAGTACTATTGTTTACTATTTATGAGGCCCTGTCCAAAGCAGAGGGAGCCCGACGGCAAAGGCGTTCAGATGCTAACCAAAAGGTCAGACGAACTCACCAGCTGCCCTACTTCCTGTAAAGATGACAGCCTTGGACACCCTATGGGGCCACTCTACCCTGTCCTGCAGGGCTGCTGAGTCAGAATGAACTTGACAGCGGTGGGTTTGACTCTAAGCAAGCAGCCCTGGTGGCGCAGTGATTAAGCACTTGGTTGCTAATGAGAAGGCCAGCAGTTCAAACCCACCTGCCGCTTTAGAGCAGAATGAGGTGCCCCCGTCAAGACTGCAGCCTTTGAAACCCGAGGCGGTTTTGCTCTGTCCCATTGGGTAACTGTGGGCTGGAATTGACTGAACTGCAGCCAGGGGTTTGGGTTGTTCTGAGCATTTAATACATATTCACCCAGTAAGTCCTCAGGACAACCCCGGGAGGTGGGGTTCTATTTTGATCCCAATTTTATAGATGAGGAAGTTGAGGCCAGAGGGTTCTAGGTCTGCACTGGAAGAGCAGGAGGACTTAGCCAGGTCTGTCTGAAGAGCTGCAGATGGGAGGGAGGAGCTGTGTGGGTGTTCTGTGGGGTTCTTGGGGTCTCCTCCTGACTATTCCCTGTACTTCTTGAGGAAAGGCTCATCGTTCCCATTACACAGATGAGGAAGTAGAGGCTAAGAGAGAGCACAGCACTGGAGCGAAGTGAGGACCCTGGGATGGGGAGCAGGAAAGATGGCACTTGGAGAGGTGGTCCCTCAGCTTGGGGCAGGGCTGGCTGGGAGCCACATGAAGGTGGGGAGCCCTGGACTGGGAGTCAAGAGAACTGAATTCCTGCCCTGCCACTCACTCACTCTCTTGCTTTCTCTCTTCTGTAAATGGGGTGAGCATGTGTGTTTCAGCTCTGACACTATCCACCACTGACTGGCAGAGATGCAGGTGTGTGTCGTCTCTAGGCTGTCTCCAAGAGCAAGGATCGATTGGTTATGCCTGCCATGGCAGCAGGTGTGGGCTGCAGTCAGGATACCTGCCACCTGGGACTGGGTGCTCACACCCAGTTTAATCGGTCAAACTGGGTTGAATGTTCCATGGATCTAACATCATCCCTCTTCGGCTACTAACCAGGTTCTAGAAATGACCCTGAGTGAGTGGACTTCACGTCACAAACTCACCCTCCAGGGGCAGTGGGACAAAGGTCTCCAGCTGAATTCCCTCAAGTCAAATCTGGGCAGGTCATCGGAGTGGAGCGATAAGAACTCAGACTGGCCCGAGCATGGTGTCCCTAAAGCTACGTGAATGTGGGGAAGTCACTGACCGCCTTACCAGTAAAATGGGTCATTACTCATGCTGCACTGACACCCCTCCCCAGGCCACGTACAGGCATCCTGAGACGGCCGGCGGGTGTGCAGAGGGGCCACGGGGACTCACCGCTCAGGTGGTATTCCGCCACGTCCACGGCCATGACGATGCCGCAAGTGCCTGCGGAAGGGAAACCCAGTTAGCAGAGAGGGTCACCTGCTCCTGTGACCCACTTCCCACCCCCTGTATCACACGGGGTTCATGCAGCTGTGAGGGGAGCTGGTCAGAGAGAGGTGGTTCTTAAAATGGCACGAGAGCTCTCCTCATGCACCCTAAGACCTCATTGCAGCGTCAACGATGAAACAGAACACCTGGGCACGTGCGGATTTCAGATTAATTTTTACTCTGAGGAACCCCAAGTACTGCACAGGACATACTTATGCTAAAAAAGTATCTGAATTTCAGGTTATATCTCAGAGTAAGTCTTCCCCTAACAAAGAGCCATGGTGTCACAGTGCTAATAAGAAGCCTGGTGATTTGAACCAAGCAGCATTTCCTGGGAGCAAAGAAAGGCTTGGTGACCTGCCCTCTTAAAGATTTACAGCCTGATGAGGGCAGTCCTCTGTTCTACAGGGCAGTTACAAATTAGAATCAGGTTGGTGGTTATACTTGCTGTTAGGCAGTTCTGGTGTCCTAGTGGCAAGGAGTTCAAATCCACCAGCTGCTCTTTTGGTGAAAGACAGGCAACCTCTTCTCGTGCTATTTACAGCCTCTGAAAACCCACTGGAGGGTCAGCTGCTGTGAGTTGGTCTTGACTCATTAACAGTGAGTTGGAGGTTTGTCTGGTGTGTGTGGTTTTTTTAAAACGTGGTTCTAGTCCACTTAGTAATGGATTTTCTTTGTCACATTAAGGAGCCAGTATTAGGGTAGGATGTGTCTCAGATCAAGGAGTCTTGGTGGCACAGTGGTTAAAATGCAAGTTTACCCTTTATCTGTACTTTTTACCCTCTGTACTTTTTTATTTTGCCAGAACTTTGAACATTATTTTGCTTAAAGAGAGAAAACCCAAGAGTCAAGCAAGATTTAGCCATTTCTGAACACAAATGCACACTTCTGTTGATGAAGCAATAATTTAAAGAGAATTAAAAAAAGAGAATAAAACACAACTACTTTCTGAAGTCAGCAGAATCTCTGCACATGTTTATTAATCAATTCAAGGTTTCCTGGAAATAGAACCCTTTAATTGGCCCACTACTCCTTGATAACTTTTAGCAAAAATTCATACCAAACTGTATGTTTATGAATGTTTTCTTTTTTTGCCAAACATTCTTTCTGGCATCGAGAAATATTTTTAAAAATCAGACATGAGATGCTTATAGTTCCTATCACCCTACTAATTTAGAAAAGGGGGGGGATAGCCTGGCTACGAACTAAAAGATCAGTGGTTCTAACACACCAGCTTCTCTGTGGTAGATAAGGCGACAATCTGCTTCAATACAGATTTGGGCCTTGGGCTTTGAGAGTCCTATTTACACTGCCCTGCAGGGTGCCGTGAGTCATGACTGACCTGATGGCCAGGATCGGGTTTTGTTTTTGTTTCTGAGGTCTGAGGAAGTTCTTCTAGAAGGTCTGTGATTCCCTGAACTCAGGCAACCACTCAGTGTATTGTGATTTTTGTTGCTAAGAAGTAAATCCGGCTGGTGGATATGATCTAAATGAGAAGTGAGGTTTGAAAGCAGGACACTGGGGTGAGCAGTAGCCCAGGCTTAGCTCAGGGACCACAGAGGGTGGAATAATCTCTCCTTCCCATGCTTGTGTTTCCCTTGCAGCTGAGATCCACACGCCTGCCTTCAGGCAAGGCAGGTACAACAAAGAAGGGAGGGGGGGAGGAAGAGGGGACAGACCCTCCTCACCTGGCCCCAGGGCAGCTGCTCCTCCTTGTAGGAGAATGGTGGGTTGTCTGGCTTCTTAAAGGAAATCCAGACATCTGGAGTTTTTAACAAGCAGGTTTTTTGATTTTCAAATAGTGCAACCAATTCACAAATCATATCACAGGGATGAACTCCCCCAGCTGTGGCTCCCGTTAGTGACCCTGGAAGCATGTGTTCTCCCTCTGGGACCAGAGTCAGAAGGGGAGGCAGAAACCTAGCATTTCAGGAATTCTGAGGTTCTCTCCAGCTTGGAGCCAAGAAGTTGGGGTGCCTTGGTCCAGACAGTGTTGTCTAGCACATCTAGAGGGGTCACATGTCCCCAAGGAAGGAGGCCCTCAAGAAGCAGGCCCAGGGTACACAGGCTGCTCCTTGCTCCCACTCTCCTGGAGATGCCCCCACTCTCTGAGGAGATGTGGTTGTCATGGTGATGGGAGGGCGGTGCTAAAGCAAGAAGGGCTTCAGCATCCTGACTTGAGCTCACTGGCTCCTGGGAGCTGGGCTGGATATCAGGATAACAATGGTTAACCTTGCTAAGTGCTCCAGCGCCAGGCACGCTCTCACACTTTGATATACAGCATACACCTCACCAAATCCACCTAATGCCACCAATGAGAAGCCCTGGGGGTGGAGCAGCTTACGTGGTGAGCTGCTGAGAGGTCAAAGTTTGAACCTATCCTCAGGAAAAAGACGGTGTAGTCTGTCCCCACTAAGATTTGCAGTTTCAGATTTGGGCTTTTGAGTTTCCTATGAGCCCTCTATGAGCACCGACCTCAGAAGGGAGGTACAGTTATTATCTTGGCTTGTAGATGAGAGTGTGAGGCTTGGTAGTAATTTTTTTTCCCTGCCACACAGGCCGGTCAGCCTTCCAATCAGGATTCCAGCCCAGACCGCTGTCTCCAGAGTGAACCACTGGGCTTTACTGTAGGCAGGCATGGAGCTTCAGTGTGTAAGAGCCTGTTGGCAGACAGCTAAAATGTGACCTTGCCACCCAGCTAGCTGCAGGTGGCCCAGGTCCTGTTGAGAGGGGTCTGCACCCCTAAACCATGTATGCCTACCTGACCACACATGTCCCCTCTTGCCCTGCCTTGCTGGAATCCATACGCAAAGCCAGCAGTTGCTCCTCCTCCTCCCTTAACCCTTGGACAGCTCACGTCCTCAGCAAGTTTAGGCTCTATCAGGCCTCTGCTATTGGGGTCCTCATTCCACCAAGGAGGTTCAGTCTAGACTCCAGATCACACCCTCCTCATCACAACACCCCTTTCTCAGGAGCTGGGATTTCTGTGAAGGTGCAAATGATTCCTATTCACACACACCCCAGCCAGAAGTTCTAGCTGTGGCCACCAGAGTACATGTCAGAGCCCAGGTAGAGGGAAGTGATGTCTGTGGGGAGGGGTGTGAGAGTGGGATTCTGTGAGCGCATAAGGGAAACAGGGCTGCTGTCGCACTGGTTTGAGTAACCTTGAGATTGTTTTAACCTTTCTGAGCCTCACTTGATTCATCTGTGAAATGGGTCCTTAAGAGGAAAAGGCGAGTGTGGTTAGACTTAGCATGAATTCCTGTGGTTATTGGCCTGGCGATGGTCCAAACATGTCCTTTTGCCCCTAAACTTAGCAGTGAGATCGCAAGGCCAGATGAACAGCTGGCCCTGTTGTCCTTGTCTTACACTAAAGCGAGCTGCCAATAGTGGTTCAAAAGGGGGACATTTCCCATTAAAAATTAGCCCCAATAACAAACTGGTGTCTCTCCAACACTGAAATCACCCTTGAAACTAAACTTCCAGCCAGAGAGAGTCCTTATGTGATCAGTAACACCAGAGAGGCAAGCATCCCTTGGAACAATCAGCCATGTGACATCAAAGGGTAACGTGCTGAGGATAAAGCCCAGGAGGCAGGAAGGGATGGGAAGGAAGAATGGAAACAGGAAACACAGGGAAGAAGTAGGGAAAGTGCTGTTACAATGGGGGATTGTAAATAAATTCATAAAACAAGATGTGTATGAATGGCTGAAGAGCAAATCAATTTGTGCTATAATCTTTTACTTGCATGGTAATTTTTTTAAAATAAAAAAGACAAAGTAAAGGATGGTGGGTGTTAAGTTAGCCGACTTAATGAAATCAGAGAGAGGGGGAGAAAGCTTAATGCAGCTTTATTAAGGGGGGGAGCTCCCGGGTGAGTTCCTCATCCTGGAGATGCACAATGGGAAGTTTACTGGGGAGGGTTTTTAGAAACAGTTTTTAGGGAGGGACATTCCACTCTGATTCACCTGGCTCAGCCAGTCAGGCAAGGCTGTTTGCTCTTCTTATCAGTACAGCAGCAGGCAAGGCCATCAGCATTTGAATTCTGAATTCTTCCTTCTCTTTGGCCCCTTTTGCCCAGACTTAACAGTGGAGTCATTAAAAAAAAAAAAAAAAGGAGAGGACACAAATTGCTGGTTCATGGAGGGGAGAAGTCTGTGTTTCTAAGCCAGGTAAGTGACATCAGAGAGGTTAAGTGACTTGCTCAAAGCCACCCAGCTGGGAGCATTGAGGAGGGCTTATCAGCTGGCCGTGCTGCTTCAGTTAGAAATGACAGCCCAGGACTTCACACACACCGCCAGTCAGCTCCCCAAGACTACCATGGGCAAACCCTGCTCTTTTCCCTGCTCCCTAAAACGGAGGCGTCATGAAGGGCAATGGATTTGTCCAAGGTCACCTGCTGAGTGACCATAGGGCAGAGAGCGAGCCAGATCTAGGTTTGCAGCAGCCCCTTCCCGGCTTTCCACCCTCTCTCCTTGACCCCATCCCACCTGATTCCCCCCTCCCCCACCGCCCAGCCCGGCAGCCTGCCAGGCGGAGGGGCTGCGCAGCTCTGAGCAGGATGCTGACGAGGCATCTCGGAGGCCAGGCAGCCTGGGGCCAGAATGCTGCGTGCACCCTGACACACAGAAAATGGAGCACAGCAGGGCCAGAGGGGAGCACTACGCAGCCCCAGAAGCCCTCCTCCCCTGCCGCCCCCACCCCAGCGGACCCCCTGCCAAGGCCAAGCCGCAGGAGCTCACTCATGGAGAACAGCTCTGGGCTCAAACCTGGCTCAACACCGAGCAGGGCAGCTACAGGAATTTGGACGTGTGCTGAGCAGGGCGCCTGGCACAGCAGGCAGATGGATGCAGCTGGTCACGGCTCGGATAATGGACTCTGCATTTTACAGAGGACGAGCTGAGGCCACTGGCCACCCAGAATATGGGAAGTTACGCTCGGG